GAGTGCCGAGGTAGTCTTTTACCTCGAGGTAGTCTTCATTATTATTATCATAATTTTAATATTGTTAATAGTAGTACTTATTTATGTTATTACATTGTTGATAACAGATTATTATAGATTGTTTTTTCATCTCTGGAGATTTTACAAAACAGATTTAAGTAGAAATGAGGCCTGAAATACGCAGTTTTTGTCCAAAGAAGACAACTCACAATACTTAACATTTAACTTATTATTGCTCAAGCTACCATTATACTACATACTTTAAGTAAGTAGTGTCAGGGTTTTTTTCTCAGATCACAATAAAATAGAATACACACATTATTTGCAGTCAAATCAGTCAATGTCCTTTTCATCATAAACTTCCTTTATGAAAAAGTAGTACATTTTTGCTCTCAAGTATCTAAGATAAAATCCTCAAAATGGTCATTTAAACTATGGTATATTTTCAAGACAATGCAAAGTTTACCTTAAGATCTACAACATTTTGTGTTTAGTTTGCTCAGGAATACAAAATGTCAACTGGCCAGTACGATTTGCACAAAAGAAGTTATTCTGAGATGGGAAGCAGTAACAAACCAGTTACCTTAAATAACAAGCAACATATACTTGTACATTCAACTTACTTTTATTTCTTCTCTATCTAAAAATGCCAACAGTAACTTTATCTATCATATGGTTGTCTGTATTCATTCAGAACTTTAAAAATAGAAATTTCACAATTAAAAAAAATGCATATAGCCAAAAAAATTCTATTGTGCCTTTTTTAAGACAGCTTAAGAATGGCTACCATACCAAAATTACATTATTAACATGGTCTAAAACACATGTATTTCTTAGAATACCTAAAAGTTCATTGGAACAGATTCTGCATTAATTGGGATTAGAGTTTATGTTATTCTTTTACAAATAAACTGAAAAGTTATTCTATGCATACAGTAGCTTCTGAAGTAATTTCCTGTTTTTATGACCCACAAGAGCTTCTCACTACTCCACAAAGTTCTACTTCAATACACTAGACAAAAGAACAAACCTAACTTTAAAAATACTGTATCTTATTCTATTTCGAAAAATGTATGCGGCAGAGGAAATGCCACTTACGAGTGAGACTATACTATGGGACTTGTTTTCCATTGTTTCCATTTTTACTAAACTTCAGCCATTCAGTATGAGTTTTCCCATGGTGCGGTTAACTGAAGGTGTGGTGCTTTTTGCCTGGTTCAGTTAAAAGACAGTAAACTTTTTTCCAAATGATCAAATGCTGACTTGGCATGTTTAAAAAAAAAAAAAAAGAAAGAAACAAACAAACAAGGTTTTGCAGAATGCTTGAATATTGAATACAGAAAGCTGTGGTTCTGATGTCAGCCACGCATTATGAGTTAAATTTTCCAAGAAAAACGAGCATTTGGCTAATGTGGAAACTTTCTGAGAGAAGAAAATCATTGGTAAGTCCTCAGCAGGTATCTATTAAAGGGCTGGCAATTCAAACTGCTGTCAGCACTGACTGTGTTCATTCTTTCAAAATTCATGCAATTTGAAGATAAGCCTTCTTTTCAGTGTTTGACTAGCACAAAGTAAGGCTCCAAGTAGTATAGCCTGAATAAGCTTCTAATAACCTGCAAATTAGCCTAAACTTCCCAGTTCTCCCTCTCCCTCTCCTGATTTGCATTAATTAGTAATGCAGGAGGGGAGAAAGACACAAACACTGTAATTTGTATTCCCAGGTGTTCTTTATTGTGATCAACTATTTTTACTATTGCTAAGGCAGAACCCAATAAACGTCGAAAGATTGCAATAGTTTAAGCTGAAGACAGCTGGGTGTCTTTCCAAAGGGAGTTAGCTTCCTTGCTGAAAACTACCTCATTTCCAGTAACACATCCTGACATCACGGCTGGGGATGGGAGCCCTGTTACTAAGTGATGCAGGGACAGGCTCAGCAATGCGTAACGCACTTGGAATGCAAGAGGCCACGCTCAGGACTGCATGTGGCATAAACAGTGTAGAACAGAATAGGAACTACTTTCACCTCTCATCTGAAGGAAATCCAAAGTTTGTCAGATAGGCAGCCTATTACAAATTCTGCTAAACATCTGCTATGAAACAAGGAAATATGCATAATTATTACTAATGGAGCTTTATAAAGCTCCTCCTCCTCCCAATATGCTTATCATCGGGCTCTAGAATACACAACAACCATATGGTGACGAATTTCTTTTTTATTTTTGCTTTTTATCAGACAAGCTAAAACGCAGGCCATCCCAAATTCCAAAGATGCCTTTTCATGTTACTCATAGTATAGATGTTTGCATGAAAATACCACCTCATAGCAAGGCCAAGAGCCTAGTCACGTGGCATAAAGACTATATTATTTGGACTTCTTCACCTTTGCTTCGAACAACAAAGCCCTGCTTCATATCTGACACCCTCATCCCAAAGATTAGTCCTCCCTCTACATTAACACACTGTTTCACCACTGAAAAAGGTCTTTAGAAAGATAAGTAACACCCAAGAAGCTCTAAAGCAAAATAAAATTAATGTAATTCAATTGTACAGCAACAATCACATTATGCCTATCAGAGTTGGTCTGGGTATTTAGATTACTTCTACACAGTCACATTTGAACTCTTCCATTTTCTTGGTATGATCAGCAACATTTCAAATATCTAGCGCAAAGATAAAGAACATCGACCAAAATACTGCCTAAGAGTATCTTGACACCAAATTAGATTGTACCTACGAAGATCACATTTACATGTGGACTTTTCAACTTCGTCATCTGTACGACCACAAATCTTACACAGCAACTCAAAGGAACCACATGGTATCTGCTCAAAAGGTAACAACTGGAAGAAAGACGACAGCTTTTAAGTTCTAATTTCCTCCTTCTAACAGGCACACATACAGCACAGTCTCTTCCTCTCCTTCAGAAATTTCCTGTATTTTTTACTCCTTGGTGGCACTTCAAGTATGTGGTGGTATAGTTAATCATTGGCTCAGAACATCTGAATATGAGAGAGACTATGACTCTACAATCCTTCTACCAGGCTGTTGATTTAGGAAGTCAATAGAGAATGATGGATTGATGTAAAGCAAGCAAGCAGGGAGATCTACAGAGTTTAACCTTGACTTGTGTTTGCCTTCTAAGTTTATTTTGCTCAGAAAAAAATGCCTGATATTTAAATGTTACTATTACTAAAACAAGTTGATAATTTACTGTGATTTTCTACACCCAATTCAACATTTCCTTTGAAAAGGAAAAAAGTATCGTATCACTTTAAAAAGCAGCACAGACTTGAAGAAGCTGTCCCTAATTAAAGATTTGGATAAGCTTCAGATTTTTTAAATCACCAAAGAACATGTGAGAGTAAGTTCTCCTAACAAACTAGAAGAGAAACTTTTGTGGTATCTCAGTTCCCAGTCAGAATGGGGAAGTTATTAGTTAAAGAAATCCCTCTGCTGCTTACCTTTCCTATTAACTTTTTAATGTATTTTGTACATTGTTGAAACATTCATATATTCGTATTTTCTTCCTTTTGCCCATTTAATAGCTTGCTTTCCTTTAAGGGTACAAAAAAACAACAACCCACACAAAGACCCGAACAAAGTTTGTCAACTTCATTATTCCCTTCCAACTTTTCTACCCAGCTTTTATGCTGGTAGTTAGCTCTCATACACAAAGAGGTGGTAGTGCTTATGGTCTGAAATGGATTTCTTGGTGTGAGAACTACTCTGACAGGTTAGATTCTGTTTCTGTTACAGCAGTTTTTCTATTTTTTTTACGCTCATTTCCCTGTTTTAGTCAATAGCTCTTTCCTCTTTTCTTTTGCCAAACTTCCCTCCAAGGACAAGCACAACTCATCCAGTGCTTACAGTATGTCAGTATATTCTCCAAAGAAATTACAGTTATGCAATACAGACATACATGAACAGTCTTAAAGTATACAGTCACAAAATATTCCATGTGCATATTATATACACACTGTCAGGTCAACTACATTAATGAAACAGCATCCTCTGTATGCTCACATAACCCAATGTTAAATCATTTAACAACCTGCCAAAAGCAATTCAGAATGTATTAAAGTAAACACATGCACCTACACCTACTAACTTGGCACACAAAATAATCCCCAGCTTAAACTAGCATTAAAGCACTCAAAAGCAAGATGTAATGATGGGGTTTCAAAGAAGCCTCACTGTCTGTTTGGAAGTTTCTAATTATGTGTGAACCTATGGGTATTTTGATTTACTCTATTGAAAGCAGACTCCTACCACTGAGCATACATCAGTGGTCTATTCTGCTGTAAATGAATGCAATGTCAATATCATCCATAAACTTCCTTGTCAGAAGCACAGCTGATACTGCTTCAATCAACAAGGCTGAATGCAACATTTCTGAATGACTACACTTCTAAGAAAAACAAAACTCCACAGGATCTCCAGCGCATGACTACAAAGCAGTTAAGAGCACATCAGTGCAGACTGACACATGTGAAACTGTGATACGAGACACCAGCTTTTCAGAGTTCTAATACACATTTCACAGGCTGAAATCAAGTCCCTCAAAGAGCTTCACTTGCTCACATATTGTATCAGTATTACTTTAACTTCCATTTTCTACAAAGATATTTTCTCATCTCTTTCTAAAGAAAAGTGTATTTACCATTTTAACCAAAGCCTTAAAGTCTTCCTTAAATCCATACTGGTTATGTATGGATGGCTATATAGCTAGCATGTAAGGCCCTTCTGTGTTTTATTGCTATGGACTTTAAAACACATGAAATCAAAAGCTTTCTCTAAGCCCAATTCCAAATGGCCATCTTGGAGATCAAGTTGTTTAGCTTTTGTCAGAGCAGTGACCATGGATCCGAAAACATGCAAGTAACCTGCGAGAGAATGTCTGCACTTAGAAGGACCGACAGTCAACTCCCATCCTCTTCCCCACAAAGAACTGAAAACACACTCACGCGCTCTCTCTCCCCTGCCTCCTCTCCCCCTGCCCCCTGAGTTCAGTTAGAGTCCAGAATAGATGTTATGCTTGCTCCTCTTCTCCCTACATGAAAGGCCTGAATGCACTTCTGAACCCAGAAGAGCAGGAGTGGCTGGAAAGTAGACTTTAGCCTACCAAGGTACTCTATGTTGCAGCAAGAACAGAAACTCCAATACTGTTATTTGACAATTCCAGTTGGCTACTGGTTTATCTATATCTTCCCTCTGAGCTCCAGGTCACAATCACTGACTCAGCATTTAAGCTTTGTATTCACCTGTTCTGTTCCTACTGCCTTCCCACAGTCTCCACCGAAACAAGTTATTTATCCATACAGACAGCTGAAGAAGTAGCTGACATCAACACTATGGTAAAGCCGAGGTCCAGAGTTAATAACCTCTGAAATTTAGGGAAATGAGGACTATCATCCGGGGCGTACTTAATGAGAGGAAAGAAATGGAGAAACAGATCAGTCATTTGGGTGTAAATGTCAATCGCTTTGTGGTTTACCGTCTTATTACAATGGAGTTCTAAATGTTCTCACTGAATGCTATTTGCTTTCATCTCTAGAGCTACTCCAGCTTCCATGTTGACTTATGTAATATACTTTACATAAAATGTATATTCATATAACATAATGTATATTCCTCAGCTCAGTGCCGCAAACAGCTGTTCTGGAATGTACTAGGTAAACCAAGCACCCATAAACAAATTCCAAGATTCAGTAACTAACAACACAGTGTGTCTTACCCTGTCCTGGCTCCTCCTCCTTCAGTTCATCCTAGGATGCAAGCTTTCCCAGCGCTGTTGTAGGCAGTTACCCAAATACAGTAGAGAGGCAGTGTACTTTGCTGCAAGGGTGTTTCACCTCAACTAGCTTATCCCAGAGTAATGCTGTAGTAAACACTGATCATTAGAGGAAAGACAGATGGATCTTTCAGCATGTTCTGCAAGTAATCAGATCGATGGTCTTTAAAAAATGGACGCCAAGGCCAGTGTCAGACAGAGACCACAAAACATTTCAAAAAACCACAAAACAACTGGATAATGACTGCCAGCAGGGAAAAGTCAAAAGACTATTAGATCGATTTTCTCTGCAGATACTGCTTCACTGAGAAGCAGCAATAACACTGCAAATAACTACCTCAGCTCCACCCACAGTACAACCTGAAGCTACTGTAGTTAATATTCAACATTGCTAATGCAGTGCACAAATGCAGCAGGAACAAAGTTTTAAGCTAAAAAGAATTCTGCAGCCTTTCAAGATAGTATTGCATTGGACAGTGTATAACAGTAGTCAAAGATAGGCCAAATACCTAAAAAAAAAAAAAATTAGCAGTGATTTACAGGAGATCCACCCTCTTTCAGCAGCTCTGAGCATTCTTCTGATCTACCGAGCTAGCAAGAGGTGGAAAGGAAGAATGCCCCAGTCCTGTATCAGTCCCTGTGATCAAATTGCTACTATTTCTTCCTTTCCCTCATCACATCATCTGTGGCGCATCTGATCATTCAGGGCTATACAAGACAGAGATGCAAAACTGTCATCATCCAGCATAGTCTGTATCTAAACTATGACATTAATAATCACTTAATCTTTGTTATTCTAAACTTCTTTTCACATTTTTCAAATAGTAGAATCAGGCCTAATCATCATTATAAAGACCCCTGTATATCCCTTAGCACTAGAATTTGTACATGACGGTATGCCAAAAGAAAAATGCATCCTTTGCCTTTACCACACATTATCCAACCCTGTAATAGGAAGAACCTTCTTCAAGAAGCTTCTTCCCTGTGTTCAGCCATCTCCATGAACTGGCAGGCACAGAGAGAAAAGAAATCATTCACTTGAAACAGAAAGGAAAAAGACACAGTCCCATATCACAGTTAATGCCCACAGTAAATCTTGGCTACATTCAAAAGTTTTTAAAAAAAATTTATTTATTTGAGTGCATGGCACTGTGTAGCCAGTTCTATGTGATATAAAATATTAAAAAAGGGAAGAAAAACAGTCATGTGGGTATTAAAGTGATTACTTCAGTTACAAAACCGATGTCAGAACTCAGTTTCCTTCTGAAGACTTTTTTGACAGACCAGCTCTCTAGGATATTTTTGTGCGTGTATGTGTGTAGAGGACAGACAGGAAAATGACTCTTCTATCAGGGATCATGCAGTGACTCACACAATAAATAACACTGGCGCTGCTTAGAGCCCCAGGAAAGCAGCCTGTTCAACTTGCAGAACCGGTCCTACAACAACTGGGGGAAAAAAACAAACCCCAAACCCACCAAAAAAAACAAACCTCCCTCTTTGGTGCCACTGCTTTAACTTACTACTTCCTTCCCCTCCTCTCAGTTCTTTTTGACAACCCAGTCAGGTTCAATTAAAGCGATATTGACACAACAGCAATAGCACCAGATAAGCCTCTTCCAGAATGCTCATCTTGTGTTTTGTTTTAGTCATCTCTTTCAGTTTAGCTTGTAAGACAAAACATACCACTTCCGTGTTGTGACTGCTCAGGCACACTGCTTGGTCTTCATCCTCTCCTGCACTGCTATTATGTTACCACAACTACAAACACAGAGCATGTTCCAAGAATATACGGTAAACCATTACCTTTTCCTTGCTTAGAAACAAAAAAGACAACAACAATGTTCTCTTGTAACAATGGTGTGAAAACACCAAACCACGATAACGTGTGTAGCAAAAGCACTGATAAAACAGCTAAAGGCACCTTTCTATGTCACTACTTGGAAAAGCCCCTTAAGATTTTTTTTAAGCCTTAAAGCAAACATGAGTCTTTTTTAAGCTGTCTCCAAAGTATGCAAAGAGAAACTCGATGTTTATATGGATGATGGGGGTAGTTGTTCAAAATAAATTCTCAAAGTGTTAAGGTGTCTGAAGTAAGGCCACGTAGGCACAAACTTTGAGAAGACCAAACACCTTTCAAGAAGTCACACGGATAACATTCATTGCAGAGAACGTTTGCTTACTGCACTCACGGCACAGAAGTAAATGCTTTATTTCAGTCTTCCTCTTAGTAATTCTTTGGCTTAACGAGGGCCCTTCATGTCATGAATATGATTCAAGTATCACACAACGCACTTGCCTGTACAACAGCCTAAGGCACGGGGCCAGGTGACAGCTGACCGAGATGGCTCGTTGCGGATTACTCCCTTAACACCGCAGTGAGCCTTTCGGACAGACCTGGGCCAAAGGTTTCTCCACCGATAAAATGGTTTCTCGCCTTCCGCTGCTGTACGGCTTCGTCTGCCGTGCTGAAGCTCTTCAAGACCTTCCGGCAGAAGACCGTACAGGGACAGGCCATCGCTTCAACGGTGCACCCAGCAGGCCGCAGAAGCTCCTATT